TTAAAGGGTTTGTAAGTGATGAAAAAGAAGATAAAAATGCAATCACAATGGAATCTGACTCACCACGGGGGGTCTCATGAGTGGGCGGGGCTAATACACATTAACCAATTAGCCGCGACCTCCAGCGAGAGACAGGGCGATGCGCACACGTGATAGGTCGGCATGCTCTGACTTTAACAGGTGAGGCGGAAAATTGAATAGCAAATTTCAATGGAGGTTAATCTGAGAAGCAACTAAACACACGAGCTGCCTAATCTGCTGGAATGATTGTTTCTGTGTTTGTTCTCATAATTTGATAATGTTCTAAATTAGTCTTGTGACATCACTATTCGCATTTGAACAAACTGATGCTGTCTGTAAAATTCTATTATAATCAAAAAGTCATTTAAAGAGACAAAAATAATCATTATCTCGTTTAAAAAAGACGCTTCATAAGGCCTGTGGTAACATGACTATTTATTTCATGATGAAATGTATCTGAAAATATCAAATCGATATCTCGAGTGAAATAACATTTAATGCCGCAACTCTTGCATTCTGCTTCACGGTGTTTCCCGTGGAAGATCGTGTAGATTAGTAAGGAAATGGATGCTAAATAGAATTTTATTTGTCTTATCAAATAACGTTTTCATTTCATCTCGCGGCCTGAATAAGTTGATATCTTCACTTGTAGCTGCTCGACTTATTATAAAATCAATTTTGTTTGGTCACTCAATGAAAAACAGGTTTATTATTAGACAAGAACAGGCATATATATTCAAAGTATTAGTTGAAATGAATGATGCTTGAGACGTGAACACTTACACGTAAAATAGTGAATTGATGGTGAATTGGGGAGCTTTAGACGACAGTGCCTCCAGGTGTGTGATCCTGTGCGAGAACCTCCCTGTAAGCTGTACCATTTATGAATACTTTTTAACCGGTTATCTTCAATGTTTAAGAAAGATCATATTCCTCTTGATAGTTCAGTTACGAAGACTAGAGTCGCCAGAGACAAAGCTGACCTTCTACCTTCAACAGTTAGAATGTTCCACCACTGTTATCATATCTCTCCACTCAGTTGATACAACCAGTGGCATTTCTAAACTAGGCTTCTCCCAAGACGGACAAAAACATATATTCTCTATTTCTAATTTTCCGGGCGCTTTGCTTGCGAATAAACCAGTATCAATTTCTGCCTCCTCAAACGCCAACAATCGCCTCGCAACAATAGCTGCGTTGACTAAAAAAACGGCATCGAGAATGAAACAAACACAGGGTGTATCAGTCACGAAGCTTTCAGACTTCCGAACAAAAGACTAGCATTATATCATGTCTTAAAGCAAGCTAACTAATTCTTTGATGAAATGCTTTATGAATTTTCATGAAATCGACGAAATCATCTCTAATACTTCTCTGTCATCGTTCATGGATTAATTTCGGCAACGGCGCCTTTTTCCGTTTTTTGACAGTGCCACTTGTTCCATCTTTTGATATTAACCACTCTATCATTTCTACGATTGCCATTGGTGCCCAAAGTGTTCTGAGACGACCTGCCGCCCGTCCCTCACAATGGCGGACCATGACATCCCACAATGGCCGCCATGTTCCCCGATGAATATCCCGCTTATTCAACCTCAACCAAGATTAGTCATAATAGGAACTGTCCCTTAGAGTTCTCATTGCACCCAAGATTGAATTTTTAATGGAATTGTTGAATGGGATGTGCTCTGTGCAGGCGAAATTGCTTTTCCAAAGATTAAAAGCTAATTTGAAACCTTTTTGAGTAATGGCGTCAGTGATTGACCACCTGACGGCCGCTAGAGGGAACTGGTCACCACGTGCTGCACGGGCAACACGTGCAACTAATGCGATTGACACGAGGGGTTATGTCAACAGGCAATTGAGAGAAAAAACATGAGATGAAATTAATACTGCACTTATTAACGTATTGCTGTTTAGAGACAAAACAACTATCAAATTATTGTCTGCGACGCACGGAAGGAATTTATTCATTTTTTTTTTCAAACAAGGCAGTTATCGATTTTTGTATGATCTGATTGCATAGTTTGTCTTCGTTTTCACCAAGCACTAACTTGTTTCTATAACTATTCACGTGCTGTGATAAATAAAAGAAACATGACTCTGTATCGACATACATGTCACACACACTCACACACTCTATGTCCAATGGAAAACTTCAGTTTTGAAAGTTACGGAAACCCCTTATTTAATGGTGAGAAAATCATCAGGAATATTTAAATGGCTGACAACTAAAACTGTTTCGTTTTTGACACTTGCAAGTTGTGGACTTCTGACATGAAAAGGGTCGAACTCCAAGATAAACAAACATGTATTGTCTTCATTTTTTATCTCCCCAAAATTAGATTGGGTCAAAGACATACGCATGTTCAAATATTAGGAAAAACGTTTCCTGAAACCTCCTATCTGAGGGTTTTGTCCTGACTGTTACCTGTACATTTAGAGTTGTAACGAGTCAAGGAAACATAAATAGAAGAAACGTACACATAATTATCATAAGTATGAACATTTATGATCACTTTCATAAAAAAATATTTTATGATTTACCCGTCCTATTATTTGGCAGTTCTTGCCGGCCTTGTTATATGTAACATACACCACTCATAGTGTCATCGAGATGCTAGTATGTGGAGTTACAGAGACGGTACACGATACACGGTACACTATACACAATGCACGGTGCACGAAGCGCGGTTCACGGTGCACGCTTCACGGTACACGATGCACGAAACACGGTACATGATGCACGGTTCACGAAGCACATGAGCAAGCTTTAGTCGAACCCTACAACACGCAGATGTGTTGCACTAATCAAATATTTCCCAGACCCGCGTGAATAAATTTAAATCGAATCCAACCCAAGTCCCGAATGTTTTGGCAAGTCTGGATTGGATTGCCTTATCAATTAAGATAATCCTGGGATCCATTTGGATTATGTGTTTTATTGTGTAGTTATTTTTTAATAAGATTTATATACTTCTGGAACTTAATGTCAGTCGAGGCCTGACGCGAATCTTGACAATAGCTTGTGTATCCCACATGCTGTAATCAATAGTTCTCTCTAACAGAAATGAAAGAGATCTCATTTCTCGATTCATATTAGATTTCCCTTCAGCTATCATTGGAAAATGTCAAACATATGATATTAGCAGTTTTATGTTGTTTGGTTTCAAATTTATGTCCTTGAAAAACGTTATCAACCTGCAAGAAGTAGGTTTAAGGGCTTTAAAGAACAAATATATCTGTAAATTGAGGAGACATGGTGCTCTATAGTCCACGCATTCTCAAACGTTTAGTCATATATCACTTTATCTATGACCGAGTGAGTATGGTTTTACGCCGTTTTAAGCAAAACTACGGCACTACAGAGACGTGGGACACTAAGGATATGTTGGGAATGGAACCTGGTCCTTTGGCATAACGAACGAAAGAAGCTGTTTCTTTTCCAACAGGTGGACATATTTGCAATTTTGTCCTCAATTCTTCAATTGCATGTTCTTTTGGGGCGGTGAGATAACGTAGTGGTTAAATCATTCGATCGTCACACCGAAGGCCCGGGTTCGATTCCCAACATGGATACAATGTGTTAAGCTCATTTATGGTGTCCCACTCCATCGTATGCGGCAATAATGCCCAAAAGGCGGCGTAAAACCATACTCACCCACTAAGGTCTATAGTTTAGTTTGTGATATGTGCTGTTCCCGATTTCGATCTGCGCCCTCCATAATCTTGCAGACAAGCGATTGGAATTGTCAACTATCTCCCCCTCGTGTGATAAATAAATAAAATACCAGGATTCCTTTATGATATCCTTAGAGATACGAGATTCAAAACAACTGAAAATGTAAGTAGCAAAAACTTCAACCAATTTCGGTTTGTATTGAGTCCTTAACAGACAAATACTCCTTAAAAACAAAATGAGAAATCCCCTTCTCCAAATGTAACAATTATGATCATCTGTGGGTAGCAGCTAGCGAAACCTCTTCACATTACGTATTATAATGGTTGTGTGAAAAGCTGTTAACGAAAGACAGATGTCCTCTACATTCCAGACGTTTTATCTTATACCCCCTGATAAAACTGATGCGATTTGATTGGTCGGTTAGTCTCACTGAAGTGTCATATTAACGACAATTTTCTTAAATAGCAGCTGCCCAGAGTGTGTGTGAACGGCATCTATTTCCTATACGCCGAGGATGTCCAAAGAAGATTTGCTTCTGTCACATCATTTTATCATCCCTAACTGGTTTTCACGGGAGATGCCTGGGTGAGATGTCCTAAGACATACCGCTGCAGTGAAATCGCATGATTAGAACGATATGAGACGTCTTCGGTTATCATGACGTCACAATCAAATGACATCACTAATCTCGGCCACTGGAAGTTGTTGGCTGTACTTTTTACACCCAAGACACTGGTTATTATTGTTTACAAACTGAAAAAGGTGAAAGCATGATTTAGGCTGATGGTTAGAATCTCACTCTTTGCTATCAAATATAAAAATGCCCATAAAGGTTTTAAACCTTTATCGACTCGTACTGATACATTTGATGTCACAAGACACGAGGATATGATCATATCGTCGATAAAAGTTTTAAACCTTTAATGATTCGTGTTGATATATTTCAGAAGACACGAGGGTGAGATTCTCTATGTCGACACTTTTCATAATTTACGACAGGCATGGGTTGTAGAATAGGTCTTCAGCAACCCATGCTTGCCGTAAAAGGCGACTATGCTTGTTGTAAGAGGCGACTAACGGGATCTGGTGGTCAGGCTTGCTGACGTGGTTGATGCATGTCATCGTATCCAGATTGTGTGGATCGGTGCTCATGATGTCAATCACTGTTTTATCTTGTCCAGGCTCGATTATTTCCAGACCGCCGTCATACAGCTGGAACATTGCTGAGAGCGGCGTTAAACAACAAACAAACAAATCATAATTTTATTAAATTAATATGTATGTTTTATTGTTTCAGTGTTGATCATGGCTGCTGGGCTTCTGATGTACCCACTTGGTTTCTCGACGCCATTTTTCCAGTATTACTGTGGAGAAGGGGCGGGGCCCTATTCAACAGGCCACTGTCAGATTGGCTGGAGCTACATGCTGGCCATTATGGGCGTGTCTCTCTCCATCTTTTGTCCAATACTGTCCAACTTTGCTGACGTCAAGTACGACGAGGACGATTATTTGGCGTTTGTATGACGTCATGTGTGATGTCATTCTGACGTCATAAGTGATACGAAAAAAACTGAATACGATTCATGTATCGCGTGTGATAACATGTATTATGTCATGTATGACATCAAGATGTATATTTTCCTATGTACAGCTTATGGATTACTGTAGAATTCTTCATCAGAACAGGCGTAGCGGTGAAGTCATTCGTCCTTATCTTCTCGAGGCAAGGCAGTTAATAGACGATAAAAGTCCTGCTGCCATCATTCCCGAACTAGGCTAGAATTTCTAGTTATATTTTGGCTATATGAATAGTCCAATCAAAATCGTGTAACGGAATCGACATCCGGTTCGATGGCGACTGCAGTGAGGGAATTCGGTCGTTTGCAGATTTGCAAATTATGTGTACCTTCAACTTGGCGTCGACAGATATTTTCCAAATCTTTCCTTTTTTGTTGTCATCAATGTGCTCAAGCGTTGTGCTACAATCCACATGTACTGGTTGAGGCATGGAATGTGAAACTTTTCTTTTAACATGATCAGATGGGGCGACGCCATTTTGTTCGGTACGAGAGGTGGAATCTGATTGGTCAATAGGAGGGACATAGAAGGGACATAACTCGTAAGAGGCACTGATGGCGCTATGATCGGGACACGAAATGCCAGCTGAGTTCGGCGATAGTGGAAACTGGACATTTAACTCCCTTGCCTCAAGAAGATGTTCGCCCATGAAGAAACTCCACACTTCCTCAATAACGCAATTCAATACTGCCAGCATTACAGAGGGAACACGTGGCTCTAACCATCGTAAGCTGTCTCCTTAAGCTTCGTCTGTCTGTAAAATGTGGTGAAGATGAAGAGATCATTAACAATGTGACGACACCTGTGAAACATTATATGATGACAATGCTGAGGCATCAAAATTGATTCAGGTCATGAAACAGCATTTTATCAATTCTATCATCCAGTTCGATCAAAAAAGACTCGCTATCCTTCTTAAAAAGCTTCTCAGTTCACACAGAACAGGTCGACAACCATCTGAACATTGGGACCAAGAAAGTGATCTACCTTCAAGAAGCGTAAAATTCCATGTCGAAAACTTCGCGGAAAATATGGTGATAAAATGTTGTTTCATGACGAGATGACGGACATCTACAAATGCAGATCTGAACATCGTGCATTACCACATAACAGACACACGATCTCGAACGTATTATATATGTGTGATAAGTGCAATGGACAACTGTTGTCAATTTCCAATGATTTGTATATTTTGTGTTTTTCCTGTACAATATTGTGCTGACTATACCCCCTTCATCAGTGTTTCATGTACAAACAAACGCGCACTGTATCCAAAAAGTAATGTATCATCGTTAAAAAAGCATGTACACTTTATTGAGAGCGGTTGTATTAACCAAAGGTACTTCAACTCATACCTATATACTGAACAAAAAATGTTAAGGATCTCTAATATTTTGATAAGTCCTGAATTAGTTGTCTGCTCCGTATTCACTTCGAAAATATATCGCCAAAATATGCATGATCCCTAACCTTTTTTGTTTAGTATATGAAGACGGTAAATTATATTGTTGTTGCATTTCAAAAACTTGTTAAACCGGTCAACACTGAACAAATCATATCGTACATAAGCAGTGAGACCTCGTTAATCTGGACTGTTAGTCCGGAAACCTCACATTCAGGACGATGTTGTTGCGAACGTCCATATAAATATACAGCAGCATTACTCCGCAGCCACGATTAATTAATCCGGACATGTCTTAATCCGGACGATTTCACAAGGAATTACACAGTCCGGATTAAAGAGGTTTCGTTTTCCATGTTTCATCACTTCCATTAAAGGTAACTTAAATTGTTAATATTTTATGATGTGATGTGATGTAAAAGTCGTCACAATATTTGACATAAATCAAATTTGTATGTTAAACTACTTGAAGCAAATCTATATCATATATCAGGTTATTATGTTTGACAGTTCGCTTTACATTTTCTGTCAATCACCACGGCTTTGACCTATGAAATATTTTTCCTCATCTATGAGCAATTTGATTTCAATATCTCCAGTTATGGCAAAAGTGTATCGTCATTTCATCGTACCATTTCTCACTGACTCGCACAGCCCAAGACTACAGATTACCACGTATTTGGTGACGAGCTGATGTTTCAAATGTGGACATGTTATTTTGATCAGTGCCGTGTGCAGTTTAATTTAATGCGAATATGACGTATCACTGTATTATATTCGTGTTCCTTGTGTCAAGATTTACGTTCAAGAAGTCCAAATGTTATTCAAGCATTCAAAAGCATTAAATATGTTTTGAAGAAATAAATGATGATACAATTGACACGTGTTCTACGATATTTTGTGTCTATTCGATTATCTGATTGAAATGCACATGTCGTCAATGACGGATCTTATTATAGAATGAAATGGAACTCTGTGCAACTATACTATGTAGCCAGTGGCTATTATGACATTATATCGAATTGGCATTTAAACGAACCCGATCCGAGTGAACTTACCTTCAATTTAGATTTTTTTTAAACTATACTACTCAAAGTTTGACAAGGATCACCACTTCAAAAGGCAACACATCAAATCGTGTACATTTGTTGAAAGAAGCAAAGACAATCTTGCGTGAATGTTTAATGAACACACGTCCGTTGTCATGCACCACACAATACCAACAAATATATGACAAATAATCAGTTAGATCACCTGTCAACATGAGAGAATCTGACCAAAACTGAAGCGTAAATAATCAAGAAAACACATTCATTGTCCAAAATGCACTCTCCAGTAAAAGCATTTCCGACTTGCCTTGAAGGACAGGGCGTCGTGATAGGGAGATCTGCAGGTCATTCCACTGTGTTCGATAGGGTTGAGATCTGGTGACCGGGCTGATTATCCTGTGCGGGACGACGGTTTCCTGTTCCAAGTAGGCTTCAACGCCCCTTGCACAATAAGGTCATGCAATATCGGCCATGAGGATGAAGTCCGGTCCGACTGCACCAGCATACGGTCTCACGTACACATCCAGAATGTCATCCCTGTTGCGTCTGTCATCATGCCCCGCTGTCGGACATGGAAATATTTTTTTCCAGCTTGACTGATCCCACCCCAATTCATGATTGAACCCCATCCATAGCGGTCATGTTGGACTGCTAAAATCTTTCTTCTTGTCTACGCCACACTCGGGCACGACGATCTGTGAAGTCCAGATAGTATCTCGATTAATCAGTGAAAAGAACTGGAGCCAAGTCCTTATCTGTCCAATTGACGTGATCTTCATCCCAGTCCAAACATGCCTGCCTGTGATGTCCGGTCATTGTCACGGAGACGATCGCGCACGAACTGAGTAGAAACGTTAACGCCACTGGCGTTCCGCAGGTCATTTCTGAGTGTGGTGGCAGTCACGACCACACTTTGGTTGACACCAAAGATGTTTGCGACGTGGCCTAATTCTTCGGTCGTCAAACAACGTCTTTGACGCAGAGGGTACAGAAGTACGGGGGAAAGTCCGTGACCCAAATTGATTGCTTCACTGTGATGAGTGTTCTGACTTTGTCTACATCTTCTAAGAAATCCTTCCTCCTCCACAGTTTATTAAATAGCGCTTCTTCCCCTAGAGCGGAAGGTCGGTGGTTCGATCCCTGGCTGCGTCTTACCAAAATACGTTTTTAGATGGTACCAGTTGTTCCTGGTGCTCGGGATTTGGGGGCGAAAACAATGACTTGTCAGCTGTCTGAGTGGGATATTTAAGCTTTGCTGGTCCTATTCTCTGGAACTCTCTCCCATCACACATCAAGGATTCTTCATCTCTTGGCGGCTTTAAATCTCACCTGAAGACATTCCTCTTCAGAAAATTCTATGAACTATAAATACGCCTCAATATAAGAGTGTTTCTTAGTCCATTATTATTTTTTTGTAATCATCATTTTCAATGACCTTTTGTGTTGCGCATCTGCCATTTGTATCGAATTTGCGCTATATTTGTCCACATATTTTTAGCCATGATGTTAAACTACAGCATGATATCTCAGTGGGCTTGCACTGTAAAACCGGCATATTAGTCCGGACTAGTACAAGCAGCCACACGCAGTCAATTAAATATAGAGTTAAATACGCAATCTCTCTCTCGCTCAGTCGAAAAGCGTGACATATATGGAATACTGTAAGGGACATTCTCACATTCTCGCGATCTCGACCTTTGGAAACAAGCCAAATAGGCCAAAAGTACAAGATTGGTCCAAATCTCGCGATCTTATGGTATCACATTCATGTGTTTTTTTTGTACATAGTCCCTTTTGACAAAATTCGAGAACGCGAGCATGGGAGGAAAAGAAATGGGGCATTTTCACGTTAATGTGGCCTGATTTGACACGTCCAATTTAAGAGATTGCGAGACTTTACATGATGTCCAACATTTCGCATTCTCGTGTTCTCGACACATGACAAACAGTACTGGTTACAAAACGTACGAGATCGCGAGAACGCGAGATTTTGGCCCTCACAATATTCCATAGACACAACTATCAATGCAAGAAAATGTCAGCCACTCCAAAAAAAATGTTCATTGGCATGTTGTGTTCTTATTACAAAAACGCTTGACAGGGGCACAGAGACCTCGCCGTAGCGGAAATGATACTGCTGTGTGACTGTGGTTGCTATGGACGCCCGTATCCCAGTAATTGCGTCCCACGAGTTTCTTTTGTGCGGCGGACTAATCACAACATGCCATATATATCAATAATTAATCTACCGGCAGACATGATCCAGTGATATAATATACAAAAGGTAATCTTCGACATGATTAATAAACCCTTTTCATTGGCAACCTTCCATCGTTACCGTCGTGGTCCTTCTCTCTTATTACATCTGATATTGTTCTCCGGATATTAGAATTTCTCCCAATGGGTGTACATCTCTCCACAATTATATCTGTATGATGTATACAGTCTGGTACAACGCTACACGTGTGTATGCGATGATTGGAGTCATTCTGGGGTTTCCCTGTGTGTTTGTGACCGCCTCCGTGGTCCAGTGGTAGAGCGTCCGCCCGGACAGCGGAAGGTCCGGGGTTTGATCCCCGGCCGCGTCATACCAAAAGACGTTAAAAGATGGTACTTGTTGTTACCCTGTCTGGCGCTCGGCATTTAGGGGCTAAAACAAGGACTGGTCGGCTCGGAGTCAGTATACTGTGTCTGAGTAGGGTATTCATGTTAAACTGCGGCATAGCACTATAAATCGGCATCAGTCCGGACTAGTACAAGCAGCCACACACACACACACACGTACATGCACGTCGCTATATAAGTGCAATAATCTTGGACGTGACGTTAATAAACGCTAAACCCCATTTCACCTCACCTCACCTCACCTCACCTCACCTCAACTCACCTCACCTCACCTGTGTGTTTGACTTGTATACCCTCTGACTGTGGGTCTTTCCCTGTGTGTCACCCAGCCTACGATCCGATGATCGTGTGTTTAAATCCCAGAGGAGGCACGGGTGGCCCAGAGTCTAAGGCGCCGGATTAGCTGTGAGTTGTGTCCTTTGGGCACGCCAGTAACCTATGATCGTGGGTTCGAATCCCACTCTGGCTCTCCCAGGTTATGTTTTAGGTTTGTCAGCACCATACCCGTGTTCGTGTGTTTCATCAAACTGGTAAGAGACCTGCATCACTTTGGGCTTTCCATAAAGTTGGTACGCCGTGGTTTAACTGGAATACAGTTCAAAGTGGCGTTAAACCCGACTCACTCACTCACTCGAAGCCGAAACTAAGGTCCTCGGAACTCGATCTATACCTAGTAATCAGGAACCTGATACAGGATAAAGATGACTCGGTCTTCTTGGCGCTACTATTCACTGTGGAAAGTTGCCTCCCTTAGTTACACCAGGAACCGCTTGGTTTGACTCCCATATCTTTAGCTTCAGTTTGTCGCAACCCCTGGTGGTCTTCACTAGTGTGGTAAATGTCTACATCCTTCACTTCCATCGTTCCTCCACACAAAGCTGACACGTCGTGATAAAACACGATGTCGAACCAAACTTACTCATTTTCTGAAGTAATCGTTCCCCCAGCTTGATCCCCCGGAATGAGTGGAACTGATGTACAGTTAAATGTGTCGGGATTCCAACAGTAACAGTTTTTTTAACAAAGATGAGGAAGTGTCGCACTAAATATGTGATTCCTAAATTTTATTGAGAAGTATACAAAAATCCCGAATGTCTTCAGAAGTTAAAGGTTTTGCTGGTATCGATCTAAAGTGTGAGTGTGTGATCTTTGACACTTGAGTTTAATCAAGCAGTCAGTTAACCAATTGTCTTGGTATTGTTGTTATACAATATTCATAAAACTGACCATCCTACAATTGGATCATCACGCTATCAGGGTTTGAACTGATTCCGGCTCAGAAGACACCGGATCAGAATAGACACCATTAATCCATGATTGTCTGCCTGTGGTACTCCTTGATTGTCTGCCTGTGGTGACACCGGATCAGAATAGACCCAGTACCCCATGATTGTCTGCCTGTGGAGACACCGGATTAGAATAGACTCCAGTACCCCATGATTGTCTGCCTGTGGAGACACCGGATTAGAATACACCCACTACCCCATGATTGTCTGCCTGTGGAGACACCGGATTAGAATAGAACCCATAACCCCATGATTGTCTGCCTGTGGAGACACCGGATTAGAATAGACCCCAGTACTCCATGATTGTCTGCCTGTTGAGAAACCGGATCAGAATAGACACCATTAATCCATGACTATCTGACTGTGGTGACACCGGATTATTTTTCAGAAACAACTATTTTAGCTAATAGTTTTAATAAAATATATCTCGCTTTACATCTGTAGCTGAAAAAATATCTGGTCACAATTCGAAATCCCATTTTTATCTCCTCTTGGACTTTAATGAATCTAAAACCTCGCCCACCAAACCTTGATCTGCAATTGCTCTTTTAACGACGTTGCTTGATGTCAGTGGGAGGCGCGGTGAGGCTACCAGGCCATTAGAGGCTCCGGTGTTGGACGTTGTACAAATGGCGCCATGGTAAAGTTGTATGTAATCTATCGCACGTTAACGTTAGTATAGATCGCGGGGTGTAATTCACAGAGGAATACGTTCTATAGGTCGATTTCAATCTCATAAGTGGGATTTTAAAGTTTCTGGTGATAGTTCCTAAATTTCCGATTATGTTCCCGAAAACGAACCACCCATTTACTTAGGAACATACAGCACAGTCAGGAGAGATTGTGTCACAGTCTATTCCTATCTTCGATATGGATCTAGGGTGAGTTTGATCTAACGCCGCTTTGAACAGTATTTTGGT